CTACTACTACTACTACTAGTACTACTACTACTACTACTACTACTACTACTACTACGAGTACGACGACGACGACTACTACTACTACTACCACTACTACTACTACTACTACTACTACTACTACTACTACTACTGCTTAGCTGTATGTAGGAGGTGTTTGTTTGGGGCCTGGTGTCACACGGGATCTTGTCTCGGCAGCATGAGGCGATTCCTGGCATTTAGCATGAAGAAGAGAACCTGCGCCCCCCAAACTCTGGACTCTTACAGGACCTTCATAGGCAAGCTGCATGAAGCCTCTGCTTTCCTGCTTCGAGGCAGAGATGCCGCGCCACCTGGAGGAGGGGACAGCGCCGGTGGCTGCTCCGGAGGCGAGGGGACCTTTCTGGTTGGCAAATTCCGTTGGGGCCGCTGTAGGCTCTGGTCAAAGCTCATTCGAAGGAGGGCTGGGAGGCATCGCTGTTTCTGCCAGGTGGCAGCCTGCTTCCCGAAGATGGACGCGAAGTCCACGGCTTCGAAGACTCGGCAGTAGAGGGTGGAGGCGGCATGGGCGGTGGAGCAGCTTGCGACCTGGAGGTGCTTGCGGTCGCGGAGGGGGGTGGCGGTGGCGCCAGCAGTGCCCCAACCGAGGAGTGCGGACCCACGACTCCCACAGAGGACTTCATATCTGCTGCCAGAATCGCGCTCGCAAGGCACGTTTTCAGCTTCTCCACTCCGCCGGGTGCGGAGAGTAGCCACCGGTCCTCGAGTTCTCGAGTGGATGGAGGTGGCCCCGTGTTGATTCTCGAGGAGCTCCCTGAAACGGACATGACGGAAATGGCGGCTGCCAAGGCCTTGGCCGAACATCTGCTCAAATTGCACCAGGACACGCAGCTCACTAGCAAGGCTTTGGCGCGACACTTGTTGTCTTTCCCCGAAAGCGCTGGTTTAGGAAGTGCCTTGTCGGATGAGCCTCCTGGCCCCCCTCCCTGCAGCCCGCATGGGCAAACATGGCAGAGAGATTCGAGCGAAGAGGCGGCCGCCGCCCTGGCACGTCATCTCATGACCCTTGAAGAAGGAAAGTTGCTTGAAGAGAGCCCGGCAAGCCGCGATGCATGTGTGAGCTCCAACCCCAGCGTGGAGATCACCACAGTTGCCAGGGCTTTGGCACACCAAGTGTTGAACATGGAGGTAGGGTCAGGAGCACAAATCTGTGATCCTGATACAGTCGCCGTGGCACGTGCGCTGGCGCACCACGCCTTAGGATAAGCGATCCGCTCTCCGAGATGTGTTTTCAGTGCTGCAGGATGTTTAGCTCCGGGGCCACTTGCCTTGGAGCAGTCTCTAGGACTAGGGCTTGTAGGACTTGTCGTTTGCAAAATGCGAAGCATTGATCTGGGGATCGGGAATGGACAAAGCGGCCAGACCCGGATCATAGAAGCCTGGCTCCTCAAGGGATCCTCGCAAGCGCCTGTGCCACAAGGACAGGACTCCTTCCGAACGTAAAGAGCGTGCGATAAGTCAAACAGCAGCATCTCCAGAGCTTTGCTACGAGGACAATGCTAGCAGCTAGCAAGCATCGTGTGGCAGAGCCTAAACTTAAACGATGTCTTCGGTTTCATACCCTAGAAGGGCAAACGGTAGATGCTTCATGGCGGTGTTGGGCATTAGCGGGTAGCTGAAACCCACATTCGCCACCGAACTACAGTGTATAGGTTGGACAACCCTAATCCCCAGAATTTGATGCTGGCTGGTCGACACTGGACCTACAAGACAATGACACTCTGAACGCTGGATGTAATCCCCAAGTTGTGCGAGGTCCAGACAGTGCTTTGTGCAGTCTATTTTGGAATCAAGGCTCTTGTCCCCTGCAGCCGTATATGAACCCACACGCCTAGTGCATCACTAAGTCGATTTACTTCAGGGTTTGGGCCTTCGAGCTCTTTGTTTAAGCTCGTTAGCCCTGCTAATTGCTCGTATGTATAACTGCCCACATGCTGTCAAGGTCGAGACTTTGAACGACGTCTTTCAGGCCTTCTTCCAGGCACTGATCAGCCATTAGCAGGGTCCAAATATCCTGGGCATGGGTTTGTAGGACTGTAGGACAAACTGACAGGCGGAAATCCATTTGGGACAGATGCATAGCAGATGTGCCCTGTATCAATGGAAGTCTCGCCCCTCTCGTGTATCATCGATGCAGTCTTGCGGGTGCCATGCTGAACTAGCCCGTAGTATCAAACGACGTAGCGGCAGCAGCAGCAGCAGCAGCAGCAGCAGCAGCAGCAGCAGCAGCAGCAGCAGCAGCAGCAGCATTTGCAGGTAGTAGTAGTAGTAGTAGTAGTAGTAGTAGTAGTAGTAGCAGTAGTCAGTAGCAG